GACCGTTAACTAGATGACGTGGAAATTAAAAAAATTAAATAAATTAAAATTTCTTTCCACCTCATCATTGCACTTATTTTATCTATATAATTTATCATATTAATAATTTAATAAAATTTAATAAATTACAAAAATGTGCAAATCAAATTCCGGAGAATCACGTCAGGGCGGTGGTTATAATCCTTTGCGAAGCACTTGCTCAGAAAGTCTTTTCCCGATTCCGACAACTAGGCTTGGCAATGGGTCGGATACGGGGCGGGTACCCCATATCCGTTGCCCGCTATATATGCCCGCGGGTAAAACCCGGACCCGCCCCATTAACCTTAATGGGCAGAAACTATGGACCAAGCCCAAGACCAACCGGGTATCGGTCAACCCGCGGGTCAATGGTTACCCGTGACCTGTCCAGAAATAGGAGCCAACCAAGTTCAATTCATTCCCTAATCATTACCTGAATTTCTGAAAATCAAGTTCTTATAACATTCAACAAGAAACCATGAACTGCAAACCCAGAAACCTTCATCAAAATCAACAATCCGACCATAAATAAACCGAAAATTAACAATCACTCAAACCCAAAATTGAAACCCACAGTGTAAAAAAATCCCAGCTAACAAACAACCATGAACTGCAGTCTGCAAACCCAGGAACCTGAATCAAAATCAACAATCCGACCATAAATAAACCCAAAAATAGCAATCACTCAAACCCAGAATTGAAACCCACATAGTGTAAAAAAATCCCAGCTAACAAACTTCTGAAATAACACTACGAGTCTGAACGATTGAAACACAAAACAAAAACAGCAGCCATTCTGAACTCTGAAGAGCAACAATCAGTGTTGAATCTTCACTCCTAAGTCTCTCTTTCTCGTCCTTGAATCTTCTTTCAATGAGATTAAGATTTCCTGAATTCCAACAACATTTACAACTTCAGATTACTATGTTCTTGAAGGCTTTAGTAAAATTCCAGCAGTAGCAAAGCTTTAACAGTAAAAAAACAGAACACACTTACAGACACCAATAGCTAGTCGAGCAGGTTGACTGCAGCAACCTCGTCTTCATCTCCTTCCAGCTCCTTTTGCATTCCAGCTCCATCTGATTCATAACAGTCTGTTTAGTAAAATTCCTAGGCGAACTGAATAAACAAATTACAACAAGAGAAGTTTATTACCTGTGCTCTCTTCCACCGTGGCATCATCCATTACCTTAGCAGAGAAAACTCCCTCCAATGCTTTCAATTCAGCAGCAGACACTAGGAGCAATAACACAAGTAAACAGTTTAATTAGCAAGAAAATGAAACAATAGCAAACTAAACATAATTCATAATTGAACTAAAAAAAATCACCTTTGCTATCATCCTGAATCCAAGTCCTTAATATCATCATTGCTTCTATTGTTGCAGGATCAAGTCTGCTCCGATGGGGATCAAGAAGTCTCCCACCAGAACTGAAGGCAGACTCAGATGCCACACTAGTAACAGGTACAGCAAGTAAGTCCCTTGCAATCTCTTGCAAAATGGGATACTTGGCACCGTTGAATTTCCACCAACCCAACACATCAAAATCCGGTGTTCTAGGATGAACATCCTCAGCTAGATAATGATCTAACTCGGTGGTTACTGCAGAAATTTTGGTTTTCTTTCTTTGGCTAACATACAGATCAAAATCCAGATCTGTAGCCGAAGAAGAAGGATGAACAGCAGAAGATGCAGCAGTGTTTTTTGTGGCTTTTCTTTGATACTCAACAACCAATTCAGCCATAACTGATCTGACCCTTTCACTCACTAGATCAGTATTAGTGATACCGAATTTTCCAGCATAGTAATCAACCAGATCCAATTTATACCGTGGATCCAATACAACAGCAACAGCCAACAGTAAATGAATGTCATCCCAATACTTCACAAACTTATTCCACATATTCCCAGCCATAGCAACAATCAGCAGATTAGGATCACATAACCATTCCATCAACTTTAGCCTCAAATCACACACTTTAGCAAAAAACTGATTCGCTGTTGGGTAGTTTGAACCAGAAAAAACTAAAGTGATGTCCTTGAAAACATCAAGCTTTTCAACCAAAACAGCAGCAAAGTCCCACTGCTCGTTGGTAGGCAGAGAATTATATTGAGGCTCTCTTATTTTCAGTATAGAGAATACTTCCTTATACGGGATAGCACAAGAAAGCATCTCGGCGGTGGAATTCCAACGAGTGGGACAATCCAATACCAACTTCTTAGAAACAGATAATTTGAGTTGTTGGGCAGTTGCATGGAAAAACTCCACTCTCCTGGGAGTGCAGGTCCAAAAGACCACACTCTCCCTTATTTTCTCAATACCATCTTTCAATACATCGAGTCCATCCCTCACAATCAGATTAAGGATGTGAGCAGAGCACCTCATATGAAGAAGTGTGCCATCCCTAATTAGATTCGATAACACTAGCCTTTGTTTAATTAGATTTATCATGGAATCATTGGTAGTACAATTGTCAAGAGTTATAGTTGACAATGTACTATCAATGTTCCAAGATCGGAGGCATTGTGCTAGCTTTGCAGCCATCCTCTCACTAGTGTGGGGGGCAGGGAAATATCCAAACATAAGCAGATGGTTTCGCAACTTCCAAAAGTTGTCTATATAATGGGCAGTGACAGCCATGTAAGACCTTTTTTGGTTTGTGGCAGTCCACATGTCAGTTGTGACAGCTATACGACCTCGGTTTTCATTAAGGACCTTTTGAATCTTACCCCTCTCTAAACCATATATAGTAACTATATCCTTCTTTATGGTATTTCGGGTTGGAACTTTGAAGAGAGTGTTCAAGGTGCAACAAAACCTTTTGAAATAAAGGTGGTCGACAATAGAAAGGGGATACTCATGCACCAAGATCATGGTGCAGAGCTCCTTTCTAGAAACCTCACTACTAAACTGATTCGTACTCAGATCAGCTGTTCCCTTGGCACTATAGTCAGCCCCAAGGACCTTTTGACTACCATCATGAATTTTTTTATGAACACAACGGTTCCTATGAGTCCTTAGATGGGAGGTACCATTACTCGATTTTCCAGCCAAAATCTTCTTACAATAGTTGCATTTTGCTTTCAAAACCCCATTAATTATCAGTCTAGTGAAGTGAGGCCACACATCAGACTTTAAACACCTACTAGCACCTAAGGGGTTTTGGGGAAGAGCATCTTCAGTAAGGTTTTCAGAATTACCAGGTTGGTTTCCATTGTTATTCTGAATTGTTGCATTCTCAACTTGTTCAGGTTCCATCTGGGTAAGAAACAGAAATAAAAGAAACGTTTCAAAATGAATTCCAATGTCGTTCTAATGAATCAAAATTCAATGATTAGACCATGGTTAAACATTACAGATTATAATTTGATGATTGAACCAAAGTCAATTCTGTAATGTTGATTGGATCCTCTCACAATCTGGATTCGATCAACATTACAGAAGATCATGGTTAAACAATTTGATGATTGATTCAAGTCTATTCTGTAATGATAATTTAGATAGTTGAACCAAAGTCAATTCTGTAATGTTGATTGGATCCTCTCACAATCTGGATTCGATCAGCATTACAGAAGATCATGGATAAACAATTTGATTCAAGCAGAATAACCAAGTGTTAGTTGGGATTTGGGTGCATTAGATACTTTAGAGTTTATATAGTTTTAGGATTAACCAAGTCGATTCTGTAATGAAGATTGAACATTAAAATTACAGTCTGTTGAACTTAGCAGACACATTAATCACATTGATTGACCATTACCTTTAACAATTACATAAACTACTTGCAACAGTGGCATTTTCCAAGAACAGAATCACACTAACCAACAAATAACCAACAAAAGCTAAGCCACCTGACTTCAGTAAGCATAAACCATGCTGATAAAGTAGTTGAACAAGCTGGATTTGAAGCTGAAACGATCTCAAAAAACAAAAGAATTGGGACTGGAATTGGGCGACGACTTACCTCAGCAGACTGTAGATTAAGCACCACCTGCTTGATTGGACTCCTGAACAGCAAGCTGCAAAAACAAAAGAGCAGGAAATCATAATCAAACTCAAATAATCTGGAAAGCTAGGGTATTTGGAAAAACTAATCGAACGAACTACTGTAACTAAACTTACCGAGAATGACAAACAGGTAGTGGGATTCCGAATTCTGGAAGGCTAGGGTTTCTGGGTTTAGGGTTCTTACTGCAGATGAACAAAATGAACAAGTAAGCCTCATATTTATACCTAATACCCTTATAAGCATTAATCGAACAAACTACTGTCAAGTGTAAACTAAACTTACCGAGAATAGGAAACAGGTACTGGGAATTCGAATTCTGGAAGGCTAGGGTTTCTGGGTTTAGGGTTCGAAGAACTGCAGATGAAGAAAACGAACAAGTCAGCCTCATATTTATACCCTTATAAGCATTAATCGATTAAGGAAAGAAAGAAACCATGAATCAATTGAAAACTTATCTCGATCTGGGAAGGAAAGCGTCTGCATGCACGATTCGGAGATGATTTTCATCAATTGCGACATTTTAGGTGACTGCATGATGGATTAAGGGTTAGATCGAGGGTTATTGGTGCTAGGATCGTCGATTTAGGGCGAAAATCTGTAGAAAAATGAGAAGAAATCGACGGATTAGAAGGGATTTGGGGAGAAATCGCGGAGAGGAAATCGGGGATGCTGGCGGGTTGAGAGGAAATTAGGGTTTCAGGCGGCGGGTTGTGGTGAAAAATGAGGTTAGTGGTCTCTAACCCTAAAACTTGGCTTTATATACACCTATCAAAACTACGTCGCTTTGTGTTCGGGCCGGGCACGGGTCGGGGATCGCTGAATCCGTCCCCAACCCATCACCGCGTCTCGTGGGTCGCGGGCCTGCCCGTAACCGCGTCCCAGCCCGTGTATTCGGGTTTTAGCCCATCAGCGACGGTCGGGCCCCAGCGGATGCCCAAAGCCCGCGGGCCAATTGCCAAGCCTACCGACAACTACCCTAGAAATTCCGGCTGGCATCCGTTCCTGACCTCCATTAACACATCCTCAACGTCGTGCAGCCTGGTCCACGGTATCTCTCCGGTGAGCATCTCCAGAACTGTACACCCCAACGCCCAAATATCCATCGCCGACGTCACTCTCCCATCCACCACCACCTCCGGCGGCACATATCTCGTCGTTCCCCTGTGCTTGTTATGACTCCCTTGAATCAGCTTCCACGTCTCTACCGCCAATCCGAAATCTGCGACCTTCAATTTCCGAATCCCCTCCTCTCCCCTGTTTCCGGACTCTGCCGCGGCCGCCGGCGACCCAGGAAAGGCTAGAATGTTGCGCGGATTGATATCACAGTGGACGTAGCCGAGAGAGTGGATCGAGGAGAGAGCTTGGAGGATCATCTGAGTGTAAATCCTGACGTGATTATCCGGAATTCCGGTACTTTCTTCTCCGCCGTACTTCAAAATCAAGTCGGATAGAGAGCCTTCAGAAGCGTACTCCAAGAGCAATTTGTAAGTTCTCTTTCCGTTTCTCTTCTCCAAAGGCCCTCCGTCGAGGCACTGAACGATTCCCGGAGTACAGATGAACTTGCGGAGGACTTGGTGCTCGACAGAGAGCTGTGCCGAGCGTGTTGATCGTCGTCGCCTCCTTTGAGTTTACGCTTGAGGATCTTGGTTCTCCACTCGTCCAGCACATCATCGATCTCGTAGGAGACGTCCTCGAGCTTCTTCAACCATTTTTCGATGCCTTCATCCTTCCATTGCTTCTCTTCTGCATCCAACAGCAGAGCTCCGATGGCGGTGAAAGTGGATTTGAGCTTCTCCACATATTTCGCAGCGCCGAGGACAAGCTTCCCGTGTTTCTTGAGCTCTTCGGCGGTGATGGAACTCAGCTGGGTCAGGACTACAGAAACAATGGCTTCTGCTTTAACCATGATGATGGAAGCGAATTAACCTGATAAGCTTTGAGGAGATTGACCGATGATCTAGACGGGAAGCTAGCTGGGAAAGGAATGGAAAACAAAAGAAGAATTTTCATCATTTTTGTAATTTATTAAATTTTATTAAATTATTAATATGATAAATTATATAGACAAAATAAGTGCAATATGAGGTGGAAAGAAAATTTTTTTTTTGTATTTTTTTTTAATTTCCACGTCATCTAGTTAACGGTCAAACTTTATGGTTGACTGCCACGTAGGACAAACTTAACGGAGTGTAACGGCCGGTGACCAACCGTGAAACGATTCGTAAAGTTAGTGGCGAATAAGAAAGAAAAGTAATTCGGGTGGCAAACGTGAAAGATATGTATAATTTGAGTGATCAAACGTGTAATTTAGCCATATCAAAACACCCAAATAGCATCAAAGTAAAATAAATAAAACTTACTAAATCTGGTTCTCATCCTCGTCGCTGCTGCAGACATCAAAGACCCTCATCCGCTACCGACTAAGACAAATTAAGTAAAAGTGAAACCTGTCATGAACCAGTTGCGAGAAAGTTATGTTGGATCTTATACCACTCTCTAACACGCCCCCTCAAACGAAAGCCAACCCATGGGCTTGAAGTTTGCACAGGCCCACCATACCATGTGCTTGAAAGACAACGGTTAATATTGAGGGTCGTCGAGATTTGAACACATGACATTTCGGTTCTAGGCTCTGATACCATGTCATGAACCAGTTGCTTCCAATAACTCGAGTTGTTGGGAGAAGATTATGTTGGATCTTATACCACTCTCTAACAAAACCAAAGTTAGAACAAAGTTTATGGGCTCGATGCGCCTAAACTTGCATGTCATTTCTCATGACTACCAAAACCATTCATTTATGAAGTTCTAAATCTCACAAAATTGTTCAATAAACAATCTTTCTCCAGGGATCCAACCTTTCCTCTGTAATTCTAATAAACCAACTCATAGTAATCTAATTACTAAGAGAATCCACGGAGTATGCCAGGATTTCTAGCTCATTGCAGGACTATGAAACATCTGAATCATATAAACCGAATCTGAGCATATTTTTTGGATTCTAGCTAACTCAGAATTGGCATGATCTATTAACTTAAGTAACTTCCCAAAACTTAAACCCAAAACTGGCATTTGGAACTACTAAATTGTGAGATTGTTGCTTAGAAATGGAAGTTAACAACTCTACTGAAGCTAAATGTCTTATAAGTGAAGAATCAAGGAGTGGGTCGTCAAATCATTAATGCACTTGAAAAAGGATTTTCTTTTGGGTTGGAGATATAGAAGGTCTTCAATGCATGAAACCATTAACAGACTTGGAAAAGTGAAAGAGGTTGCTTTACCCTTGTAGTAGCGGACTTCATTCTCCTATTAATTCAGTTCGCTGTTGGAATAAAATTACAGATTATGAGAATTTGAGGAACCCCAATCCGTCAACCAATTTGACATGCAAAGGAAACCAGATATAAAAGGTTACGACAATTGCAACCACAATCATAAAAGTCCAAATATGTGCTCGAGGCACAATGAGTTACTTCATGAAATAAAAAAAATATACATCGACTTGAATCAATTTATACTTAATATTACCACCGATTAGTTGCAGAAAATCACATGGGGGTGGAACACATGGGCCTGTAAGCATTGCATATCGTAGCCAGAGCCTCACTACTGGTCCCTCCTCGATCATATGGGTGAAACTGATGAGACCAATTGACGGAGCTATTCACAGAGGAGGGGGTGCTTGCACCTCCTCCAATACTACATAGACATTCCGCTTGAGAACATACACAACTGAAAAATGCTAGCCTCCTGCGCAATTCAAGGGAGGGTTTTATGGTCTTCTTAGACCAATATTTTTCGGCCCTAAAATCCCGCTTGCTTCACTTTACTTCCTCCTCTATTTGAGTTATGCGAGAGAATAATATGGACTTGCCTTAATTTGTTAGATGGCCCACTTCATTCAACCCCATTAAAAAGAAATTCTAAAATTAAGCTCATAATTGAAAGAAAGAAACCCACCGCAGCCCCTGGTATTGTACACACAGACACCTTTTACTGTCCATTGTGACTGAGATTTACTGTTTCAAACTGGCGTGGGCTGGCGTGTGGGCTGGAGTTGGGTGAGGCCTCATTGGGATCTGACGGAGTTTGGGGGCTCGGTCGGGGTGGGACTGGTGTTTGGCATCTTGTTGGCCTTCGTTGGGGTCGTTTGGTGGCCCGGACGCGCGTTGGTCATCAGAGATCGATATTTTACTTTGGCCCGAATGGGCACGTGGGATGGGGTCTTCAGATGTGCTCAGTCAGTCTTCCGCGATATCATTGTGTCTGTTGAGGATTCCGGCTGTTGTTCGCAGGACTGTGTTGGAGGAACTTGGTGAGTCTTGCATGATATGATTGTGTCTGTTAGGGATTGCTAGAGGGTCGTGTTGGGTTGTTGTTCGCATGACTGTGTTGGAGAAACTTCCCGGCTCATTGGCTAGGATTGGAGGTGCTTTGGGAATGGTGGGCGGCTGATTGATACCGGTTATTCACCTGATGGCGGGAGGGTGTCAGAAAAGCTTACTGTTTAAACACTGTATACGTCATTCAGTGCATCGATGCGTGCGCTCAGGTGGAGAAGGTAGTCTCTTATTCTTTTTGCATGCCTCGATGTGTGGGCTCAGGTGGAGAAGGCCATTTCCCAATCTTTTTGCACAAGAGGACTCATTCTCGGAATGCATTTCTCTCTTTTTTTCTCCTCTCTTTGTTCTCTGTGGTTCAGTTGTTGTTTTCTCGCCTTTTTCCTCGCCATGGATGCTACTCTGCTCTGCAATCTCAAAGGAGGTACCAGAGAGGTGACGCTGAGGCTTCGTCTGCTCCATATGTGGTATGCCAAGAATCCTTCTGGGACAAGGGTGTTTAGTCACTGTTGCCTTTGGGTGGATCAGACGGTAGATTCTCTTGCGTTGATTCTTTATGATTACAGTTTTTCCTGTTTTTTTGCTCTTTTTTACCCTTCTTTGCTCTCTCTTTACTGTCTTTTTTTGTTTTTGATTCAGGGTATGCTTATTCAGAGCCTTGCTGATGTCTCTATTGGGTCTGAATTTGAGCGTGTGCTGCGCGTGGGAGTTATCTACGTTCTAAGGTGTTTTGGTCTTAGTGCCGCAAGGAATCTCTATCGTGCATGCTCATTTGATCTGATAATAGAGTTTTCAGCAACAACTATTTTCCAGGCCTGTTCTCTACCTGCAGCTGAATTTCCAACTGATTCCTTTGAGGTTGTTCCTTATAGTGAGTTGTCTAACCGTTCAGGGGACAATCGTATCCTTGCAGGTAATTGTTGCGTTTTCTTGACTGAAATGAATTGGGTTTTATGTCTTCTTATTACTCTTTTTTTTTTTTTGCTCAGATGTTGTCGGCCGTCTTCATTCTATTAGCGGGATTGATCATCAGGTTACTAATCACGGCTCGACTCCAAAACAAGTTCTGGTCCTTGAGAATGCACAGTAGGTCTTTTGTGTTATTTTATTTTCCCACTTGGGAATACTGTTTTATCATCGGCACGTAAGATATGATCCTTTGTTTTGCTGTCAGGAACCAGAGAGTGTCGATCACGCTTTGGAATGAACTGACGGCAGTCCTTGATCGACCTGCTTTGATTCAGGCTGACTTCATTGAGCCAGTGATCGTTGGAGTTGGGGGGCTCATGGTTGGCCGTTTGATAGGTGTGTATTTTTAATCTTTTCCATTCTGCTTGATCATAAATTATGAACTGCTTTTTTTTTTTCTAGCTGGTGAATATTCCTGTTCGAGCTCCTCTGGAACCCGTATAGTTGTTAGCCTGAGGATACCAGAAGCATACAGTCTCGCTGCTTTGTGGGTTCTTTGTTGTTAAATTGTGATTTTATTGTTCCATATTTGCTTTGTGGTGTTTTGGTTTGGTTTACTTTTTTGTATCCATCTATACAGTTTTGGTGGATCCAGAGTTCCTGTTGCTGATTTGCTGGTCAAGTTTGCGACCCCAGGGGACGCTGCTGCTGATGCTGAGCGGAGAACCAGGACCATAGCTGAGCTTCTTGATTTGCACCATGGCGGTGCTTCTGTCGTGAGTTGCATTCTTATGTAGTTCTTGATTTTAGAATGGTCTTCGGGTTGTCCATTTATTTATGTGTTTTGATTGCTTTCTGAGATTATCAATGTTTGTATTCAGGATGAAAAGCATCATTGTGGTGGTATAGTCCGATCAGTTGAGTCCCGGAGCCCGTGGTATTACATGTCATGCAGCATGTGCAGAAAAAAGTGTTCTACTTGGCGAAATGGTAACTACTGGTGTCCTGACCATTGGGAGATCACTGAGCAGCAAGTGACAGTTGGGTGTGTGTTTTTATCTGATCATTAGTTGTTGTTTTTGTTTATTTCAAATGTGTGCCTGTCAGGTCTCATAGAATTTGCCTACTTTTTGTTGGTTTGCACTCCCACGCCTATCCTGATGAAATTGTCTCTGTGTTTTACTGTGTCGTCTCCAGCTACAAGATCCAGTTGACCCTGCGTGATGCCACTAACGAGGCCCCTTTCATTATTTTCGGACCGTGCGGGAACAATTTGGTCCTCACATCTGCCCAACTTCTGGCCCAGAGATATCCTCACAGGTCTGGCCAGTTGCCGCCTG